CCTTGCCCTGGTCCTGCCTCTGGCCATGGCCCTGCTCCTGACCGGGTCCCGGTCCCGAGCCCGGTCCCGGTCCTGCTCCTTGCTCTGTTCCTGGTTCTGGTCCCGGTCCCAGTCCCGGTCCCGATCCCGGTCCTGGTCGCGGTCTTGGTCCTGGTCCTTGCTCTGTTCCTGGTCTTGGTCCTGCTCCTTGCCCTGGCCCTGTCCCCGGTCCCGGCCCTAGTCCCGGCTCTGGTCCTCGTTGCTGGCCCTGGCCCTGGTCCAGTTCTGGCCCTGGTCCTGACTCTGGTCCTGCCTCTGGTCCTGGCCCTGGCCCTGGTCCTTGTCCCCGTCCCGGTCTTGGCCCAGGTCCCGGTTCTGGCCCTGGCCCTGGCCCTGACCCTGGTCCCTGTCCTGGTCCATGTCCTAGCCTTGGTCCTAGTGCTTTCTCTGGTCCTGACCCCGACCCTGGCCCTAGCCCTGTTCCTGTTCCTGGCCCTTTGCCCTGCCCATGTCCTGGTCCTTGTCCTAGTCCCGGTCCCTGCTCCTGACCGGTCCCGTGTGTGTGTGTGCAGGCACCATCCGGCCGGTGCGGCGCAGCTTCTATGAGCCGTCCTCGGCGCCGGGGCGCGGCTGCCAGTGGGAGTGGGAGAACGACGCGGGCAGCTGGACGCCCTACGACATGGAGGTGGCCATCGCCATCGAGGCCGGACACGGCCGCCAGCAGCCCGGCCTGGACCTGACCCCGCTCGGCTTCTGCTACCTCATCGACTTCCACAACATGACCCAGGTCCGGTTCGCCCGCCCAGACCTTTACTTTACTCTATGACAGTGTTTTTCAACCTTTTTTGAGCCAAGGTACATTTTTTCATAGAAAAAAATCCACCAATCAAAAATGTTAAACAAATCTGTAGCCGCCTATAGTAGCACTATACTTATTCTTATTTTATTCTTATCGTATCTTAAGTGTCTTGAATAAGAATCAAATAAACACAAAAATGTATTTTTTATCATATTTTATATTTCTTCTTTCAAATTGCTCTTAACATGTCGACTTCAATATATAAGATTATATACAAAATCTAGTCATAAGGAATTATTACATGATTACTCCACCAGTCACTAGTAAAGCGCAGGCACTTAAAAATGGCATATTATTTGCAGATAATTAATTCCTTATCAAAAAATCTTTTTAGAGCAATTAGGTGAAATAGGATGATTTGCTACGGCACACCTGACGATAACTTTTTTAAACTTTTTTATTTTTAACTTTATTACTGGATCTAAATGTCATTTACTGACCGTTTAGCTCATTTTAAGATAATTTTATAAGGCGAAGACAACTATGTTTTTTTTCACTTAACTCATTTTTTTGTTTACATTTAGGAACTTTTTTGCCTTTTTTTTGCCTTTTTTGTTTACAACTAACATAGTCATGACCCAGAACTCCTGTTGTGTCTTTAGTTGTACTATGTTCTATGAGACTTTTGTTCTATGAGACTTTAGAGACTTTAGAGACACGTCTCATCATTTCTCATCACATCTCAGTGGAATCTGCCTGATCCTGTGAGAGGGATTTATTTTTTAATTTATTACTGGATTTAAATGTAATTTACTTCCATTTTAGCTCATTTTAAGTTAGTTTTATGGGGCAAAAACAAAAATTTTTTTTTTTCACTTTACATTTAGGAACTTTTTTGCATTCAACGTTAACAACTAACATATTTTTCTTTACATTTAACATTTATTTGTTAACATTTAGAAACGTTTTTGTGTTTATTTACATTTAACAATGTTTTTCAGAAATAAATAACTCATAAATAAACTCATAAATAAATAAATTTACTCATAAATAAATAAATCAATAAATTGATTAATTAAAATATTTAAATAAATGATAAAGGTCAATCACAGCTGGAGCTCTGGGCTCTTTTTCTGATTTAGTGGATACATTTACAGTCCCCCCCC